TGTGACATCACAGCTCACAGCAACCTCCAGCTCTTGGGCTTAGGCGATTCTCTTGCCTCAGTCTCCCAAGTGGCTGGGACCACAGGCATTCACCACAACGCCCAGGTATTTTTTCTTGCAGTTTGGTGGGGACCAGGTTTGAACCTGCCACCCTCAATATATGGGGCCAGCGCCCTACTCACTGAGCCACAGGAGCTGCCCTAATTTTTCTGTTTTTAAGAGAGGTGGAATCTCTTGCTCAGGTTGGTCTCCACCTCCTGACCTCAAGTGATCTTCCCTTTTCAGCCTCCCCAAATGCTAGGATTATAGGTGTGAGGCACCACACCTGGCCTGGTATTTTAAATTATTGTAAAAATTCATAAATGTCTCAAATTTTAAGAAATATTATTGGTGATAGCTATGATTTGTTTATACCAAGTTTGTTCATGGATGTCAATTACAGTGGTTTTTCCCTAGGGTTATACACTTTGCTTTGATCATCATTTCCAAGAATAAGTTGTAATCCTGGATAGCAGAAGTGTATCTAAAAAGTTTTTCCCATGTAAGAGTTCTATATATTGAGAAAATGGTAGATGATGTTGCTAGCTCTCCCTGCACTCTTAAATTCTAGACATAGGAGCAGGAGGCAAATCTGTCTCTCCTTCTGTTTTGTGCTAGTCAGACCACATGTTGAATCTCATATTCAGTTCATGTTCAGTCTCGTTATATGGACTCCGAGCAGCTAGAAGAAAGCAGCCAGTGACACTTGAAATCACCTCCTGAGCAACCACTGAAAGAACCACAACAGGTCAGGGCAAGCCAGGAGTGGTGCTCTTTTCAGACACTTGTTTGTTTATCTTGTCAGGTCTCCTTTGAAGACAAGTAGCAGGTTTCTGTAGTTGTTCTGTATCTTTATTTCTCTATTTCTAATTGTTTTAATTGGCTTTAAGTTCCAGAGAGAAAACTCTTGTTCAGAATTATTAAAACTCTTTGAAGGGCGGCACCTGTGGCTCAAAGAGTAGGGCCCCGGCCTCATATGCCGGAGGTGGCGGGTTCAAACCCAGTCCCGGCCAAAAACTGCAAAAAAAAAAAAAACTCTTTGACATTAGGGAGGGTATGTAATGTCCTCTGGCTAAATCAGTGATAGTCTTATATTGTCTTTAATTGACAACAGGAAGAGCTGAAGAGAGACCTGAAAATTAAGAAAGAAAAAGAGCTGATGCAGGCAGCACAGGCCACAGCAGCAGCTGCACCCTGCCCCCCAGTGTCAGCAGCACCTCCAGCCCCTCCACCCTCACCTCCCCCTCCACCTGCTGTGCAACACACAGGCCTCCTGTCCTCACCCACTTTACCTGTGGCTTCCCAGAAGAGGAAGCGTGAAGAGGAGAAAGACTCAAGCTCCAAGTCCAAGAAGAAGAAAATGATCTCTACTACCTCAAAGGAAACTAAGAAGGACACAAAGCTTTACTGTATCTGTAAAACGCCTTACGATGAATCTAAGTGAGTAGATCTTTCTGAGCTCTACTTTGTTTTCTTTAACGTTTAGTTAAGTTGATAGTTTTGAAGAAAATGAGTATGTTGGTAGTGATATAAGTGAAAATAGTTAAATATAAGAATAATCTTTCGTCTATGGTCTTGCATCTGATATTCTTAACCTTGACACTACTAAAGTAAAATTTGCTATTTCACATGTTTGTGATTCTTGTTTGTCCTTTGTTATATTCTTTTCTGTCAAAAACAAGCTTTCTGTTGCTCCTTTGCTTTCTCCTCTCCTTGAATTAATTCCAAATCAATTAGTAATGCTGTCTAGAGAATGAGGTGTATTATTGTTGCTGCAAATTGAGACCATCCTTTCAGGGATCTGTTCAAAGCCCTGTGATTATTATCAAATCCTGGTAACCATCTAAATAAATAACATTAGTGCAAAAGGCTTCGAATTTGAGTGTTTGGGCTTTTTTATTGTTTTACTTTAAGCAGCTCTGGGTTTTGTATTGAAATATTTTAAACATTTTTGTCAAAGTCCTTATCATGGACCAAATCCAGGAAAATATAAGAAGTATTCCTTTCACCCATTTCTCATGTATGACACTCAGAAAATTTGGCACATGGAAGCTGTTTTTGACAGTTGTGATTTGTATTTGGTGATACAAACAAGATTTTAGAGACATTAAACCATAAATGTAGTTCCATTTGCGGGATCATTATCACTTAGGTACTTAGCTTCTATTTTGAACTTTAAACTGTAGGGTAGATTTTTTAAGCCACAATTAACCATATTATTTTTTATAGTACCAAAATATTTGTTTGTGCATGAAAATATGATCATTTAGAATTAGGAATACTTAATGCCTACCTTAAGTGGATGTCTAGTCACTTGATGAAATAAAATTGTAGTTTCTTTTATGATGTTCAAGTTGCAACACTGACACTTCTCTGGTGGCGCGATCTAAATTATAATCTGTTTGCAAATGCCAGATAATCTAATTGTATATTCAGTTAAACACAGGTCACTTTAGGCATCTTCACTTTTCATTGTCTTACCTCATTAAAATTAGGCATAATGTAAAAAGTCAAACCTTATTAATTGGTTTTTCCCTGAGTTTAATACAAGTGTACCTCACTTTAAGCAAAATACACTAAATGGTTTCTGACATAAAGCAACGTGAGTTTGCTTCTTCTTTTCCAGTTAAAAAGATCTTTTCATGGGATTTCTCTAAATAACAAGGATTCTTGGCCTATTCACAGTATTCAGATCACAGAAATTCATTTCACACAACTTTTTTTGGAATATCTGAGTTGCCTAAAATGAGGTACATATGTACATGTGCTCTTTCTATTGAGATTGCTTCATTATTTTGTGGATATTTCATATTTTTCAGTTTGTCATTATTTACATTTCACTATACCAGGTTCATTCATTCCCTGTTTTAGTTGGGATAAGTTAGTGTTTTTTACAAGTATTTTGTATTCCCTTATCTCAAACTGTGCCTGTTTGGGAATTTAGTGAGAATAACTAAAAATTGAAATTCAAGCCCTGAACTTCCTTCCAAAACACAAAGCTTACCACCCTGGGGAGGCCACATACAAAAATACGTTGGAAGCCTCCCACCTGTGGCAGCAAAAATCATGTGAGAGTCACAGTTAAAAGGAAAAAAGTTAGTGGTAATAGGATGCACCACGTGCTGTGTATTACTCCTTCACATTCTTGAAGTAGGTCACTTTGAAGCTTGTGGTGAATCTACTAAGAAAGGCCGTGATAGAATTAAGGGTACCAATGGTATCAGCAAGGCCAGTCTGGTCCCCTCTGATTCCTGCCAGTTCTCACTCTAACTTTGACATGGTACTCCTACTCAGCACCTGTCAAGACTCTCAGTTATACTTTATGAGTGTTTGTTATGGAGTTACCTTTTATTTTGTCATTAGGGGTCTTATCTTACCAAGACCTTGAGGGTTAACTATATGTAGTTAGCCACAATTACTCTCATCCAACCCCATCTCGCCAATACTGTAGCCCTAACGTGGTTTTGGATACCTTTCCTTATATCATTCTCTGTGCCCTATGTCCTGGTTTTGAATCAAAGCAGCTCCTTCCAAGTTCCTTACCAGTTAATTAACCAGGGCCCTCTCCACATTGTCACAAATACTGTATTAACTAAGAAACTGGCCCATGTCATAATCTAAGGAGGGTGATTTTTAATTAGAGTAAATTCCAAGGTTTATTTGGAAAACTTGGTAGTACCCGGATTGCTACATGTACCTTTCTTAGTTTCCTTCTTCATACCATCTTTTGCCCATTTATCTTCTACACCTGGCTGACCTGCATGTTCCTTGTAGTGTAACTTCTACTTGGTGTTTGCGCTTTGCTTTGTTTTCAAATTTAAATCGTGAGATACATTTTCAAACCTATAACAAATAGCCCTGATATTGAAATGGCTTCTGTGGAATAGGTTTGACAGATGTAAGTCTTTGATTCTTTGGCTTTGGTTTTTGTGCCTGTTACAGTTTTATACACATTCATTAAGAGGAAGACATTACCATCAGTGTGTTGTTTATTTTTTCAAATTCCAGTATGTTTTTTAAAGTCCCATATTTCACTAAACAGTGTATTTGTTGAAATTGACGTGAGTGACTTTATGTTCCACATTTGATACAGTGTCAGATACTGTAGTTTGCCAAGGGTAGAAAAGGTTGGATTCAGGATGTTTAGCTGACTCATTGCAGAAAGTTATCCTGTAAGAAAGTGAATCAAGTCAGGGAAGACAGATTTAAGTACCATGCAGCTCAAAATGACAATTACATTGTCATTTTCATTGTGAATACTTTTAGGTTCTATATTGGCTGTGATCTTTGTACTAACTGGTATCATGGAGAATGTGTTGGCATCACAGAAAAGGAGGCTAAGAAAATGGATGTGTACATCTGTAATGATTGTAAACGGGCACAAGAGGGCAGCAGTGAGGAATTGTACTGTATCTGCAGAACACCTTATGATGAGTCACAGTGAGTTCTGATAAGAGCATCATATTTAATAATTTAGGAAGCCAAATTGCTCTGACTGGTTACTTATTTATTTTAAAATAAAAAGCAAGGTTTTTTCCTACATTTATTATACACTTACATTACAAATTCCTTTTCAATTTTTTTCTCTTTTTCCCTCTTTACTTCCCCTTCAAAATGTATGTTGCTCCGTAGTGAATGTTTGAGACACATGGGGGAAAATGTGGTTTAATGGTAGATTTGATTCTTTGATATATAACACAGAAATTAATTAGATTAAAATAGCCTGACTTGTTTGGACTTTATCAGTGCTTGAAATGGTGCTTTATTGTAGGTTAGAAGAACACTAATTTGGGTACAGGCTCTGAGACTCTCTTACCAGCTTATACTATGTAGATGTTTGAACTCCCATTTGAATTGGTACTAGTTGAAATATTTTGGGCTTTATTTTCGTTTACAGCTTTAAAATTGATTAAGGGTTTTACGTTTATCTTCAAATTGGTTGTCCCAATATTACACAGTATTCTTAATAAACTTTTACTGCTTGTTCTTAACATCAAAAATGCTAAATTAACACATTGGAATGTCAATCGTAAAGATAATAAAACAACCATAATACTAAAACTGTCTTATATCCCAGGGTTTAGCAAATTTTCAGGTGCATGCTTTATTATTTTTAAAAGTAAATTAGTAATGTTATACTCTCCATTTGAACTCACATTTCCGTTTCGGGTCTTGCAGATTTTATATTGGCTGTGATCGCTGTCAGAATTGGTACCATGGGCGCTGCGTTGGCATCTTGCAGAGTGAGGCAGAGCTCATTGACGAGTATGTCTGTCCACAGTGCCAGTCGACAGAGGATGCCATGACAGTGCTCACACCACTAACAGAGAAGGATTATGAGGGGTTGAAGAGGGTGCTGCGTTCCTTGCAGGTGAGAAACCATTGTGCAGAGTGTTTGACAATGGTCAGCCAACGTGACTTTGGAAACATTTCTAGGGTTTGCAGTTTCAATCTTCCTTTTTTTTTTTAAGATAGCGTCTCACTTGGTAGAATGCCGTAGCATCACAGTTCACAGCAACCTCAAACTCTTGGGCTTAAGCAGTTTTCTTGCCTCAGCCTCCAAAGTAGCTGGGACTATAGGTACCTGCCACAACACCCAGCTATTTTGTTGTTGTTGTAGTTGCTGTTGAGCAGGCCCAGGTCAGATTCAAACCCACCAGCCCTGGTGTATGTGGCCAGCACCCTAACCACTAAGCTATGGGCTCTGAGCCTCTTAACTTAAATTTTATTTTTAAAGAAAACTTTATCTCACCCCCAGAGATTGAAAAACAATTTGATTATATTCGAGCTAGTCACTTCTCTATGAAAATTAACAAGGGGTAGGGAGCTAGGCATGGTGGCACACATCTGTAATCCCGGCACTTTGGGAGACCAAGGCGGGATAATTGCTTGAGGCCAGTAATTTTAAGACCAGCCCGCACAAAAGAGTGAGAATCCCGTCTCTGTAAAAAATTTAGGAATAAACCAGGCCTAGTGGGATGCACTATAGTTAGGACTACAGGAGGATCACTTGAGCTCTGACATTTGAGGTTACAGTGAGCTATGATTATACCACTGTACTCCAGCCTTGGCAAATAGAGTGAGACCATGTCTCAAAAAGGAAAGGGGACAGGGATGGTTTGCATGATTTGAAAGGGAAGGAGGGAGAGCGGGAGGGAGGGAGGGATGGATTCAAGACATAGAGTGCTAAATTGAACCTTTCTCCTGTTGTAATCATATTCACAAGCATTGAAAGAACTGAAAAGAGAATCATGGTCTCAGTATATGGTTGAGTGTTATTTAACTTTATACCTCTACCACCTCATTAACCAGTACTGGTAACTATTCCACCCCAGTTTTGCACACGTGATTGCAATGCCAGCATTACTCAGTTGGCAGATCATCATGTGGGGACCAGAATACAGATTTCGTGACTCCTAAGCCAGTGCTCCATCCCCAGACCAAGGTCCTCAGACCAGCCTTCGAGGACTATTGTTATTGGAGTATGCTCATCTTAGGTAATTTTTCACTAGAGCAGAAATCATCTAGTATTTGGCTCAGCACCTATAGCTCAGCGGCTAGGGTGCCAGCCACATACACCAGAACTGGCAGGTTTAAACCCAGCCCGGGCCTGCCAAACAAAAATGACAACTGCAACCAAAAAAAAAATAAAAATAAAAAAATAGCCAGGTGTTGTGGCTGGCACCTGTAGTCCCAGCTACTTGGGAGGCTAAGGCAAGAGAATTGCTTGAACCCAAGAATTTGAAGTTACAGTGAACTGTGATGCCACAGCCTCTACCAAGGGCAGCATAATGAGACTCTTTGTCTCCAAAAAAAGAAAGTAAGAAAGAAATCATCTAGTATAAATAATTTCATCTATCAAATTGAAAACTGACTTTTGGAATTTAATGGTTAATGGAAGTAGTGACTCAACTGGGTGGGTAACTGAAATGAAATTGGTGTTTTCTACCTGACAGTAATGATGCCTATTTTTTCATTATAGGCACATAAGATGGCCTGGCCTTTCCTTGAACCAGTCGATCCTAATGATGCACCAGATTATTATGGTGTTATTAAGGAACCCATGGGTAAGTGCTTGAGTTAAATATTAAATTGTTTCAGAAGTTGCAGCAGCTGTTTTATTATCCATAAAATTGATACATCAGGAGACCATCTTGAGCAAGGTTGGTGGGAATATAAATTGGTATGGTCTTTTTGGAGGGTGAATCGAGAGTATCTGTTAAAATTTAAATGTGCATTTCCTTTTTTTTATTTTGTAGCAAGTTTCAGGGATTATCCTTAAATAGGTCTTTGGGGTACACATGTATTTTTCTTTTTTTCTCTCTTTTTTTTTTTTTTTTGAGACAGAGCTCACTATGTCACCCTTGGTAGAGTGCTGTGCTTACAGCAACCTCAAGCTCTTGGGCTTAAGCAATTCTCTTGCCTCAGTCTTCCAAGTAGCTGGGACTACAGGCACCCGCCACAACGCCTGGGTAGTTTTTGTTGCAGCTGTCATTACTGTCTACCTGGCCCAGGACAGGTTTGAACACACCACCCTCAGTGTATGTGGCTGGTGCTGTAACTACTGTGCCGTGGGCACCGAGCCAGATGTGCACTTCCTTGAACCCAGCAACTTAATTTCATTTCTTAGGATTTACATGTGCATAAGTGTATTGTTCACTGCAGCAGTGTTTATAATTACAAAAATATTGCAAATGAAAGAAATAGCCATTAACAGAGTAGTAGCTATATCAAATGGTATATGAGTGGTGTGTCATACAGCTTTATGAAAGAAACAATGAAGGGCGGTGCCTGTGGGTCAAAGGAGTAGGGCGCCAGCCCCATATACCAGAGGTGGTGGGTTCAAACCCAGCCCCAGCCAAAAACTGCAAAAAAAGAAAAGAAAAGAAACAATGAAATCAGTGAATGAATTGGGGCTGGTCCAGTCCCATTCTTCCCTGTTACTTTTCCCTCTTTTATTGAAAGGGAAAATTTGATGGACTCACAGTAGAGATCCAAGAGAATATAAATATAGCCTTATTTCCCAGAATAAAATGGTAATAACATCCAGAGGTAATTGTATTAAGATGAACAGCCGTAAGTGGTTGTATTAAAAAATAATTTATCTGCTCGGGCGGCGCCTATGGCTCAGTGAGTAGGGGGCCGGCCCCATATACCGAGGGTGGCAGGTTCAAACCCAGCCCCAGCCAAACTGCAACAAAAAAATAGCCCGGTGTTGTGGCGAGCATCTTTAGTCCCAGCTGCTTGGAAGGCTGAGGCAAGAGAATCACCTAAGCCCAGGAGTTGGAGGTTGCTGTGAGCTGTGATGGCACAATACTCTACCAAGGGTGATAAAATAAGACTCTGTCTCTACAAAAAAAAAAAATGTATCTGCAAAATAAATTATAAAAATTAAAAACACAGATAAAAGCTGCCAAAGATCACCTCTAGCTGATGAAAGAATTGTGTTCCTAAAGCCAGTTCAGCGAAGAGTGTTTGATGGCAGAGGGTGAAACATGAAGACAAAATAAATGAGAACTTAGTTAAAACTGAAAAAGAAACAAGCAGCTGTTAGTTGAAGATAGCAGGGGTGCATATTTCAGATTTGTGTAGTCTCTTTTGAGAAAGTACGTAGGGGTATTTATTAAAATAAATCAATAGGCTCGGCGCCTGTGGCACAAGTGGCTAAGGCGCCAGCCACATACACCTAAGGTGGCGAGTTTGAATCCAGCCCGG